TATTTATGGAAAGATACGAGCCGTTCGATTCACACATAAATTGTAATGCGTAAAACATTAAATTAATAATAATATTCATTATTATTATTATTTTTAACAAAGTGAGTCTATTCAAATATGACATTATTATTACACCCAAAAGAAGATCGAGGAGTGAAGCAGAGGGAAACAAGACATTATTGGGGGGGATAAGGATCCCAAGGTTGGGACTGGAGGCTTAGGGCCAATGGAGAGTGGGCATCCCACTGTTCTTGGTCAAGTCTACTGAAGCTTCGAGGAATGACAAATTGGGGATTTATAATTAGTTTTGACTTGAGATTATTACCACTCCATGAAAGTGTTTGTTTATTTTGCAATAAATATTTTTTGGGCTTACAACTTCTCTTGTGAGAGGTTCTAGTTTTATTTGTTTATAAATAAATAAATAAATAATAATAAAGATAAATCTGATCCAAAGAATTTGGAATGACCTGAAAAAGTTTTTACTAGCCAAATTAATAGGCATCTCTAAAAGATTTATAGAAGAAGTCATTAAAAGCCAGTCAAGTAATATTTTAGATATAAATGACATTGATTTATTAGTTGTACACCTCAGAATTAAATAATAATAATAATTTTGCAATGGAACCAATTTTAGTACACATAGTGGTGATAACAGATTTGGATTTCTTGATATATATACACTATATAATTGTTTAATTTTAGATTTGTCTTTTCAATTGCATACATGTCCTCTAGAAGAGTATATTTATTTGCAGTGCTTGTGCTGAGTTGAATAAGGTTGACCTAAAAATAATGACATCCTGTCCCAGAAAACACTATAATTATTGCTTGTTGTCTGGGAATTATTGTTCCTCGATTGCAGTATTATTCCTGCAAACCATTTGTAGATTGTCAAAATTAACTAATTTGTAGTAGAGTTTTCTATGCATATAGTTAAAATTAACTAAATAGATTGTCACTTACTAACACTGTAAATTCAAAATATCATCTAATAAATTTTTACACCTAAAAGGTATTGGTTGTCATGTGTCAGATCCATTTATCAAGATTAAAAGCATTGGTTAAATTGTATATATAATATTAATTCTGCAATGATATATACTAGATTCCATTGAGAGCTTTAAATTTCATCTGACAAACTTTAACATCTAAAATATTAATTTGGTGGTAGTGTATCATATCCACTAACTAAATATAGAGGATTCGAAACTCATCTAATAAATTTTATACCTAATATACTGATTGATATGATATGATAATAGTTTACTCACTTATCAAGAATAAAAAGTTCAACATCAAATTTAATAAATTTTAAAAATATCAATTGGTTTAGATGATAAACATATTGATAACAAAGTCTTGAATCCAATTTTACTACTTACCCTTTGCCCAGAAAAAATCTTTGAACTCATATGGAGTAACTTAGAAGAAATATTAAACTAATGATAAAACTATGTCCTAGACATAGTTGTAAGAATCTTAACAGCTATTATGATTATGATGTCATGGGATGAACAAAAGCATTATTAAATACAAATAGTTTATGAGTGAAGAGGATATCCATGGCTGAGTTTACAATGATTTGGTGGGAGAAAATATATGAATCCAGCTAAGAAGATAACGGGAAAGAGAGCACAATCACAGAAGAGACCATAATGATCATGTTTATTAGGGTATTCCATATCCTAGACATGATAAAATATTCACCAATTTCAATCAATAGTCTGAGCCATGAATCATATAGCTACATCAGAATTGTTTGAAGTGTTCTTCATGGACATCATCTTCAAAGACAAAAATGTCACTTTATCTTGTTCAAGGGAAGCATCTTGTTGAGATATCCGACGGTTAATTAGCATAGCATATTGTTGTATGATTGATAGGTATTTGATTGCGGCTATGGGTTTTGACATTAAATTTTGGAGTTATAATTTCTTCAAGGATCCATTGAATGTATTGCACCCTCCAATAAGTTGCATAATTGGTATATTGCATGGTATGCTATGTAAATGAGGATAATATTTTTTTTGTCATATTGTTAAAGATTAAAAGAAATAAAGACATCAACTAGGTATATATTTTTTTACATCTCTTTCCTACTTAGCGTCTCATTATATTCCATATCGAATCAATTATGATGCCATTTGTGATGACATGGTTGTTAATGATTATACATCTATTAAGTTTGTATTAATCAATCTAAGTCTTCTCACACTAATATAGAACTAAACTTATAAGTGTCGCAATAAAGTTATCTTAATTAGTATTTATTAGTTGGAGTTGATGCTTAGCTTGAAGTGACTCTATTTAACTCAGGTTCTTTTATGTTTGGAGTAATTATTTTTGAAAAAAAAATAATATTTTTTTTAATTTTTTGGTAATAATTGCAAATTTTGTTGAGAAGACTTGATGATTTGATGTAGCATATATTTTTAAATCATAAATTAATTGAGGATCATAATATGTAAGAACATAAAGTTATAATTTCATATTGTCTTTATCATATTATAGAACTTCCATTGAGGATGTTAATCTTGGAACATTGTAATTCGCAAGTGATTTTGTAAGGGAGTTAACTAATTAATCATAAACATGGATATGAAAAACATATAATTGACATCTAAAAATCTATGATAATATATTTCATTTAAGAGTATAATATAATGTTGAAGCATTCATAAATGACACGGATATTATTATAATATATTATTAAAGCAGAGATGATGCTAATTTTGCGTAACATATTGGTGATTCAATTAAGTTTTACAATGATGATAGCAATGGCTTAGTATCGAAAGTCTCCTCCTATTATTGGTGATTCAATTAAGTTTTACAATGATGATAGCAATGGCTTAGTATCGAAAGTCTCCTCCTATTATCGATATAATATTTCTATTTGTTTTGTACAACTTTTATCAAATATTTTCTATTGTTTTCATTATTTTTATCGAATATTTTCTATTATTTTCATTGTTTCTCTTATCAAATCCGATCATAAATATTTTCTTTCACTTTATCTCATCCTAATGAACAAGTGATATGTACTATATAGTATTTCAAATAGTGCTACTTACTAAAAAAAAATGATACTATCTTAATGGTTACTTGATAACTATTATTATAAATAAATTATCTCAAAGATAAATATTTACCGCACGATCCCTCGTAACATAAACTCTTAGCATATCCTCTAATAATATCTGAACTATTCTTTTTAACTAACTATCTATTTGAGAATAAAAAGTAACGGTAAAAATTAACTTTGTCTCTAAGTCTAATTATCTCTTAGATATAAATAAAGTAAATTGATCAATAAAATAATTAATATAAATAAGTAAAAAATATATTGTCTTAGTCAATTTAATCATGGTAACCCAAATTTTATCATATCTTTTGTTGGTATTAGGTAAACTTATAATAAAATATTTATTGATCTTTTATCATTTCTATTAAGATATTTTATAATAAATTTAAAATATTTATTAATTTTTAATATTTTATTTTAATTTATTCACATGTCAGTAAACCCATGAGAACAAGGCAGCCTTGTTCTAAAGCATCAGCCTATCTAAGGCCAATCATTGAACCTGATTCCAAGCGAGAGAGTGCCGCGATTCTGACCATCTCTGCCGGCGTGGATGCCAACAGAGTCTGACTCATATCAAACGGGGGGAGGAAGGGGCCTTCTGCTCCGACACCCTTTTTATCCACACACTTCCACAAGCATTACTGTCCATGTTGACTCATCTCTTTATCCTATGACCGAATTCCAATCCCATCTGCAAAAGGAAAGCCAAGAAAAAGACACAAATGGCTACTGAACTGAGAACTGTAGGTGTCCATCTTGACTTCAGTTTAGAGGATGGCTGATGTCTACTCGTAGAAGAATGGTTGGCTGACAGGACCAGCAGCAACTTCTGTAAAGCATCTTCCAATCATTCTCTTTCAAAGGCACAGACATCAGTAAGAACAAAGTTGCATGGCTGTAATTGTCCAGCTTGACTTCATTTTAGGGAATGGTCGATGACTCCTTAGAGAAGAGAGGTTTGCTCGCAGGACCAACGTCAACTTCCGTAAAGCTTCTTCAAATCATTCTCTTTGGCGGGCACAGCTATCAGTAAGAACAAAAGTGCAAGTGATGTGAAGATGGCTTGGGAAGTGGAGAGGAGTGAAGGTCGATCCTTGTAAGACTATTATCAGCAAAATAATCCTTTTTTTCTTCTTTGTTACTGCGAATGAGAAACCTATATATAATCTTTAACCTTCCGATTACGTTTCTTTCTCAGTGGCTTACTTTCGTATGACAAATTGTTTCTGCAAAATGAAACATGATACATTATTATGATTGATGATCGTAGAATGAAACAATTTATTATTGTGATTACCATCAAATAATCTAAAAATGTGATTATTCTCTGCAGGAAAGAGTTATCAATTATTATGGTTAGGAAACACCATCTCCACTTGATTCATTGGAACTTAAAGCTATTCCTCAATTCATTCACTCGCTGCATAATTTAGGGCACATCAATCAATGGTAACTACTCTTTCCTATCTTCAAGATTAGTCACTTGCTTTTCACATCTCAGCGAACTTTTCTGGTGTCATGAACATTTTCTTTTAAGCTGTCAAATAATATTCTATCAGTTATGGCATAATATTAAGAAATATACATGATAATTTTCAAAATAAAAAGGACTAAATTATCATTTATTTACTTTGATTGTGCCACAACATTCAAGATATTTTTTGGTATGCTATTATTCATAATAGTTAATGCGAATTTTCTTTTTTTTCCCCACAGTTTTTATTCAACAAACTTTGAATACAACATTTAGAAGACTCCATCTTAAGGCATTCTTTATATTTTCCTCTTCCCTATTTTAATTTCTTATCTAGGCATTATCATTCCTAATATAGTATTACGTCTCATCCTCTCTATTGTCTTAGGAATTATATTAGCACAGAGCCTTCTAATCTCCGTTGAATTAATCCACTATATATATATATATATATATATATATATATATATATAATTAGAATTTGATTAGAAAAGTCATACTATTATTTTAGGCAACATATCATAATAATTATACCAATAGTATATCAAACATGTAAAACTTGATATTATAATAGAATAATTTAGAAAACATTAATAATCATATGATTCAGTATTTACAGGACTAATAAATATTCATCAGTATCCATTGGTTCGATTAGTATTAGTTTCTTCATAGGAAATTAAACTTGCATGTACGTACGTGGAAATAGAAACTAGTAGGTGGCGGCCATGGGAGGAAGCGGGAACAACTATAGTCCATAAAAACCCTTCGCTACCCCCAAATCCAACCAACCACGAGATCTAAATATAGATTATGATGTCATGTAAGTAGAGCTGTGTCGGAGACGACGGCCATAACTCTCGACTCCCTGCAAAGTCTGACAGATCTCGTACCTCCCTTTGACCAAAGCAAAGCCGTCAATCATCCCGCTTTGCGGCGTTAAGATCCGTGCAAGAGCAGAAGAAGACATTTGATGGCAATAGGAGAGGCAGCACAGAGAGAGAGACAGATGTACCTCTTCAGCTCTTCCCCCTTGGATTCTGAGCTGATCCAGCTCATCACCATCCCCTTCCCTGATCAGATTCAATCCCCACCTCTATTAATTGCTCTTAATCTGTTTCATTTCGCTGCCGTCAACCCAAACCCCCCACCCGCTCTCTCTCTCTCTCTCTCGACCTTTCATGAAATCTCTTGGGCCTTCCTCTGTCTATCTCCTCTCCTCTGTTTCACGAAAATTAGCATAAAAAACAGCACCAAAAGAAAAGAAGAAAGGAAGGAGGAGCAGAAAAAGAAGCTTGTGGGATAGAGAGGAGGGAGGAGGAGGAGGAGACATGGGGAACGTGACGTCGTCGGTGGCGGCACGATTTGCGTTCTTCCCACCGGAGCCGGCGACGTACGAGGTGTTCCGGGAGGGGGGAGGAGAAGGGCCGCTGTGCCTGTCGAGGCTGCCGCCGGGGAAGAACGTGGAGGTGCACCTGGTGGAGACCAAGGCCGGGAACCGGGTGGTGGCCACCTTCTGGCGCCACCCCTTAGCCCGCTTCACCCTCCTCTACTCCCACGGCAACGCTGCCGACCTCGGCCAGATGCTCGACCTCTTCCATGAGCTCCGTTCCCACCTCCGCGTCAACATCATGAGGTAGACTTCCTGTTTCCTTTCTCTTCCTTCTTCATTTTTCGTTCCTTTTCTGCGGGGAAAAATATGAATTTTTTGGATTATCTTGTGCTGGATTTAGATCTTCTAAGCGAATGCCACGACTAAATGAAATTACTAGGATTTTAATAGGGAAAAAGGAAGAATTTTAATTTATGCAGACCTATTCAAGATTACGCTTAGCTTCATATGATCTATATCATGCATCCATGCTCGTTAGGAATTCTCTCTAACGTGCAGGTGCAGGCTTTGTTTCTCAATTAATGTGCTTTTCTACCTCTATTCGTGTTGTTCCCTCAAACTTTTCATCTGTCTTTGCACAGATTCCTGGTTGTCCTGAATCCTAATTTTGCCTTGATTCCTCTGCTAACCTATCGGTTTATCGTTTGCCTTAACCAACCTACATTTAAATTTCTGAGAAAGGCAGATTGAAACTTGAGGTTGTAAGCCTTGTGCATGTGATATTTTATTAAATTTGGAGACAATTTTATGTATAGATTACAGAACTACAAAAGGAACTATTAGATTTTGAGGAAGGAAAATTGAAACTTGAGGTGATAAGCCCTGTGCATGTAATCTTTTGTTGTACTTGGAGAGCAGTTTGTGTATATATAACGGAACCAGGAAACGATTGTTCAGAGGGTGATATTACCCAGGGGAGCTGACAAAGAGGCTACCATTATGCATCCACTCTTTCATTGTGATCACCTTTGATTTGATCTTTTTTTGTCATATGTCTACATATATGGCATGATGAGATATCCGAATAGACTTCTTGAATTCTTATCTGAAACAACAATTCTATCTTGTTGCTTTTGTTATCCTCTCTCTTCAAGGATGCCATTAGTATTGTTCAATTTTTCAATTTTTGAATCTCAAATTGGATAATAGAACAAATATGTTATTGCTTTAAAATGAAATCATAAAAATCCTTTTTGATGTAAGATGCAGTGAGAACTCATTGATGACATTATTCTCTTTTGCAGTTATGATTACTCAGGTTATGGAGCATCTACAGGAAAGGTAAACATTTGTAAATAAGCAAGCAATGGAGTAATATTTTTCTTCCCCTGAATTCTTTAGGTATTTTGTAAGATTTCTGGATCTATAACACTATGACAAAAGGATCATGTGTTCTCCATGATAATAGTTAAATCAATTGAATTGAACTATGGATAGCTAAGGCCTACCAATGTTTTAAATTTCAGACTGATGCTTATTTCAGTAATCTATCTGACTGATATGATACCTGATGTACTGGGTGGGAACTCTGAGCCATACCATCTGATATCGGCTAAAATAATATTGAAAAGTTAGATGCTATCGGGCCATATGATCGAATATAATTTTGCTCAGACTGGTAAAAGCCTAAAACATTAGCTCCATAGTATAAAATCTAAATGGAAAATTTCTTTTCAAAGAGGTACTCGATATCATAAATAGATAAAGAGGGTCTCTAGTGATGGAGTAAATTAGTTGTATCAATTCAACGTATGAAATTCTGTTTAGCAAGATCGAAGCACCCTTAGAAGGGGTGACCAACTCACAGAAATCCATAAGTTTCAGGGGTAAATCACCATAGTATTTATGCTTCTGATATACTCGAAGTAAATATTTGGATAAAGCACTCTTTTGAAATATATTTTCAAATTTTATAGTCAGGCCATCTGATGGCTGATTTTTTTTTTCTTCTTTGTAATTTGAAAGGATGTGAAAAGTTGCTTTAAGAAATCCTGAACTCTATGATAGGTCTAACATAGCCAATCTATATGATTATTATCAAATTTTATCATATGAACTGTGTTGAAATTACAATCGAGTCTAAGCATGCTTTTCAAGAACTTCAGGATAAAGATGTTGATAGCAACTGCTACAACAACTTTTATGAGTTGATATATTTTCATCAAAAGCACTCATTCTACTATAGTTTTGGTTGCTGATAGTATCTTGTTTTCCTTGTTACTTGTCGTCATTCCCAAAAGCCATCTGAGTTCAACACATACTATGACATAGAAGCAGTCTACGATTGCTTGATGAAAGAGTATGAGATAAAACAGGAGGATCTCATTTTGTATGGTCAGTCTGTTGGTAGTGGACCGACATTGCACCTGGCTGCACGTTTACAGAAACTGGGAGGTGTAGTCCTCCATAGTGCAATCCTCTCAGGCATACGAGTCTTGTATCCTGTGAAAGTGACATTGTGGTTTGATATTTTTAAGGTAAGTTTGGAATACAACCATTTTAGATTTTCTTTTCCTGCATTTATTATTCATATTCATGTTCTTACTAGTTCATGGACCTTTCGTTTGCAGAACATTGACAAAATTCGACAAGTAAACTGCCCAGTTCTTGTTATACATGTAAGCCTTCTTGGTCAGCTTTCTGACGAACAAATTTCATCTCTCATTTGAGCAATCTGTTCCGCAATGTTATGTTGGATATCAGATCGGTCATTCTACAAGTGTACTTGCAAATTAGAACTTTGAAGTTGTATAATGAAATAACTATGAATGTCTTAAATTCCTAAGTGGTTTTGCATTATATTTCGTTTGATCAGTACCTAGCTTTTGCATCATCATCATCATCTAAGCCTTTTCATGTCATCTATATAGGCTCAGTTGTAAAGCATATAACAAAATAAAAAAGTCAAAACTGAAGATTTGTTTCACAAGCAACTATCACAAGTACCAAGTTAGTTGATGGAAAATGCTTCTCTTATTGGTTCTCTTCTCCAGAAATGTCCAAATTGGTTGATATCCACTACATGCTTAAGTTTATGCAGGCATTTGAAATTTCTGATGCCTACAATTTTGTCAGAGTATTGCTTAACTAAAAGAAGTTGCTTTGAGATTGACCGAAGATAAAATGTTTGGATTCAATGTTTGACATCCTCTTTTGTTGTTTCTGAAACCATTTAGCATGAACTCTTTGTACAGTATTACTTCAGAATCTCAATTCACTCATCTATTGATGTTCTTGATCTTTTCAAATGTGATTTGGAGATAAAAAGGACTCGATATGATGCCTTACACCATCTACCACTTGTTTGTAGGGAACCTCCGATGAGATTGTTGACTGGACTCATGGAAAACGCCTGTGGGAGCTATCGAAAGAAAAGTACGATCCATTGTGGATCAAGGGAGGCGGCCACTGCAACCTAGAGACATTTCCCCAATTTATCAAGCACCTGCGAAAATTTATCAATGCGATGGAGAAGCTCACTCTTGTGAAACAGATAACACAGAGTAGTCTGTCGATATCAGCCGTCACAGAAGTAAAATATAACAAGTGTTTGAGACTTGGCAAAAGATAGCTGTTCTAACAACTCTTAAAGTTCCCCATTCAGCTCGGCTGCAATGAGTCTCTTGCGTCAAACAGTTCAAGATTAACAACGTCGAGATCACAAATTGATACATCGATAAGTAGGCGATCATGAATTTAATTATTCTTATGATTTGCCAGATTGATGGCTTATGCAGACACTCACCACCTCGAAAGCAGAAGATATGGCTTTGTTTCTTAGATCATGCACTTCATGTTCTCTTTTTCTCCTCAGAGGAACAGACTATGTTCTCTTTCAATTCTGTAAGTAGTACTTGTATCTGTTTATCAACATTGGAAAATGAAGCTAAGTGATGGAAGACAGATGATAATGAGTTTGTAATCGATTAATAGATGTAACAAGAATGTAGTCAACCTTCAGAACGAGCAAAGAAATGTTTGCAGTGGAGAGAGTGACTAGTTGTCTTGTATCTGTGAGATGCTTGAATTTGATAGTAGTCATGGAGGAGATATTATTGGCAGTGTGCCAACAAGAGATGACTCGACTCAGTTTCCCGTAGATAGTTTGTTGGATTTGCATTGATTGGAAACTAGCAAGTGAGAGTATCATAATCTTGCCATTAGATTCTTGTCACAGAGATTTGCACACCAAGAAGAATATTGAAATATCACAACTGTGAATGAGACTTGTGATTACAGACAGTCCAAATGAGCCAAAGTGTCAATAACGGTAAACACTAAACAACAATATCATTTCATGTAAATTATGGTATGTGGGCTACAAATGAGAACCTTGTCGATCAAGGCAGACAGAGTTTAGGAAACTTGGCCCAAGCTATCGCAACCACTTGTTTTGGAGTTACATCTTTTAGTTCTTGGGGGAATACTTTGTGCCAACTCATTACCCTCAAATGATAGCTTCCATCAAACTCTAATGCCTCATACGGGGGTGGCAACGCTTTTGCGTAGGATTTTGTGATTTGAAATGATGAAGATAAAAGGCCGGTGGGTGAGCAAATGGATGGTGCAAAATCAAAAGAGAGCATTGAAAGGATGATAGCTTCGATCAAATGGGCACCTCTTATCAAGTTTATTACCAAAGTAAAACAAGACTGGCTGCAAGTCCATAAATAATAGTCAACAATTAGGTGTTGAAAGGCTTGAAGTGTGTGCGAAAGGATGTAGCTAAATGAGAGTCAAGAATTAGGTGTGCGATACGATGCAGCACAAACTCACCCCAAGTGTATCTAACCCTATGCTAGTCAAACAAGGTTCAAGAATGACTTTAGCATTTCACATTGTACAAACGATACAGCACACATCTTAAGAGATTTTTACTATAAAAACATGAAAAAGAACAAACAAAGGTACAAGCAAATCATGCAAAGGAAAGACTAAAGAACACTTACAAAGTGTTACAAGACGAATGAATCGGGGTTGTGGTTGCGGTCATCCGTGATAGCCAGTAGAGGAAGAGGAAAAAGAGTAAGTAACACCGGAAAGGCAAAGATAGCCTTGTATGGTTGGTGGAGGATGGTTGGCCATGGATGATTAGGTAAACAAGGGAGAAAAATATATAAATATATTAAACGAGACCATAATCACATCCATACATACAGGCATCATACGATATATATTCATATACATCAACGATAGCACATTATCTTCATATTATTTTTGGAGATGGCAATGGGAGATGACCCTTCTCTTGCAGGCTCTTCCCAGTGTCATAGAGGCTTTGGATCACCGACCTAAATTGCACGCCAAGGTCCTTGAGCTGTTGGTTTGAGAACTTGTAAGGCTTTTTTCGAGGATTCACCTCGTCGGAACACCTGCATCACCACCACCACCACCACCACCGCAACCACAAGAAATATGCATCAGTCAAGGTCACATACTATAATTGTAATAACCCAATTTAGAGAAAAATTGAGAGCGGTATGACATCACAATCTCATAAGTTAACTTGTAAGAAATATCCTTCACATTTGAACACCTAAAAAATTGATTTATAAAATATTTATAGCCTATTCAATTAACTCAAAAAACATTGGTTATATATACTAATAAATTGATATTTTATAAAAACACTAAAGACTTTTAACTTATCTCAAACATAAGAACATGATGAATGTATAATTATTAGTTTATGATTAAACATTTTATGTTGTCAATGGATAAATGCTATTAGGCCGATATAGTGAAGGTTTGATACTGAACTAATATTTGAATTGATTTATAGCTGATAGATGTATTACTATTAATAAGTCTAAATATTTTAAGCAAGTGGTTTATTTACACTGAACAATAGTCCATTCAAACAGCTTCACGGTGTTATACACTGCTTTGACTGTGTTAGGTTGTCTGCGCACCTCGGGAGGTGTTCTCCGAGTGTTAGGCTACCAAAAAACTTGGGAGTCCTTTTCTAGTACGACCAGATCAGTGTCTTTTAAGCTTGCTGACAAAAGAAACACACACAAAGCTTCACATCAGCTGCAAGGAAGCTTTGTCTATCACCAATTCTAAATCTGCACTTGGCAAAGATTGTAAGATAGCTATGTGCATGATCTGATTGGTCTAAGCATCTCCCGAGGGTTTCTGATGTGAGTTTGGCATTCATTTAGCAGCTGCTTCCTGTGGGAAGAATTTTCCATGCTACTCTTTCTTTAATATCTCTCAGATCTTCTAGAAATTAAAATAAATTTATTTTATCAACTACTCGTTGAAGCTAATAAAGTATTATATAATTTTTTTTTTGTTTTAATTTTTTTTCATGATTGTGACAACATACCCTTAGAAAAGCATATCCTTTTCAATCTTGTGCTACTATTCATCATTAGCAACAAAAAAATATATTTGTTTTACGACTAGTTTGTCGAGAATTAAGATTGAAAAAAGAGGAGATAGAACACCAATCATCAACAAAAGAATTGAAGTAACTAAAAATAAAAAAAAAGACTATATTAATTCGATAAACCTTACTATAACCTCTCTATTGCTACTCTCTTGATCAGACTATAATCCTGTTTGGAGGATAGACTTTTGACTCTCATACTCCCCACATTCTAATCTAAATTAGGGCTTCTAATTTATGTAAATTGGATATATTTGTATAATCCTAAACAATTGCATGTGAGTGTCATTGTTGATTTCCCTCCGCTACTCATCTTGTTCTGCTATGCAGAAAAAAGAATATTTCTTCTTAGAAAAACCAAGAAAATTATATATTTTCATTTTCCTAATGTTCTTCTTTGAACTCACCATGTATTAATCAGATTAGACGAAGTTACTAATGCATATCCTTTTTCCATCAGATATATTCCATGTCTCAAGAGTTTCTCTCTCTATGCCTATATCTTAGCTTCTTCATTCTTTGAGAACTGGTGATGGGGTGGTCCAACCATTCCCATACTTCTAAGCTACAACGATATCTTTGTCATTACTTCTTGCTTCAGAGGAACCTAACAGGGAGTAGGTGAGAAAACCCCACTGTATCTGATATCCTTTTTGTCTTCTCTTCCTCTTTCTTTCTTTCTTTCTTTATTATTTTTTTTTTTTGACAGATGTCATTAACACATTTCATTTCTTCTGAACACAAACCTCTCTATATGGCTTTCTCCTGAAGGTCCAGTTGCTCATCTCCCTTCTCAGTCGGAGAAACCATTTGCAGCCTCAGGTTGTCAGTCTCCATCTCCCTATGACAGCATAGTTGGAAGGTACACTTGGAAGTCATATTACCCTGAAGGCATGGCTAAACTACATAGATCTCCATATTTCCAAGTATATGATATAATGTTGTCAGATGTTTAGTGCTAGCATGTTATTCTTCTATAATCTTTTCAGTATAAAATTTTAAGTTCCTCTCTATCACAGCAAATTACAAAGTAACGATCAGTTGTTTATGTTTCAACCTTTCTTTCTCTTTTTTCTTGGTGAAAATCAATAATATGGATCGAAATTAGGTCAACTATAGTCTGAAAATCATATGATTAACTTCATATTGTTCTCTTGATGGCCTCAAATAATACAAGTTTAAGCTTGGAAAACAGATTTATATACATAACATGTCATAATACACCAATTCTTTATAAGAAATCTTTGTTACAAATCAAACTTCCTTAATCAATTTAAGAATTTTAAATGTTTATTTATAATTTGTAGAAAGATCTTATTTATTTTTGTTATCTTTTCTCGCTGCATTAAAACTAATTCATTTTAGTTTAGCATATGTAGACTAGATGACCATCTTAGCACATCTTCATATCATCTTAAATGATTTTTATTTTATTTTATGATTTATATAATCATCTATAAACAAAAAATATATGTTTAATTCTTTTTTATAAATGTCTAATCTCAGTAATGCAAACTTTTATATAATTTGGATTGTAGATTGGTCCACCCAATTCACCTACCTTGCTGCACTAAGCTATCATCATTTCTTCTTTGTGTGTTTTGGCCGCTTCTAAGCGCTCACGTCCACTTCCTGTAATGCTTCCATGCCACACATGCAAAGAGGAAGGGTACTTACGTGTTGGGCACCGGATACTCCGGGAAGAGCTTGGAGAGGATGCGGACGACGTCCTCGCGGTGGAGCACGCGCTCGATGCATATGAACCGCTTGCCGGCGGCGGCCTCCGCCTCGAACACTCGGACGTGCGCCTCGGCCACGTCCCGCACGTCGACGTACCCTTGCACCGCGTTGGTGTACCTCGTCGCCGACCCGTCCAGGTACTTGAGGATGTGGGCGATGCTGGCGTTCACTTGCGGCTGCAGCAGCGGCCCCAGCGCCAGCACCGGGTTCACCACCGCCAGCTCCACCTCCGTCTCCCTCGCCACCTCCCACGCCGCCTTCTCCGCCACCGCCTTCCCGTAGCAGTACCAGTTCTGCACCACCACAACAGTGACGTCAGCCACCAGCCTCGTGCACCGATGCATCGATATATCGTGCGCGCTCACCCTTGTGTTCTTGCAGTGCTCGAGATCGCTCCAGCACGACTCGTCCACCACGACGTCGGGGCCGCGGCCGGGGTCCATGGTGACCGCGCCGATCGAGGAGGTAAACACCACACGACGGACGGTGCCAGCGTCGGCCGCCGCATGGATAACGTACCTCGTGCCCCTCACAGCCGGCTCCACCATTTCCTCCTTCCACACGCGTAACGCATGCACACAACCAAAACATCAGTTGTTCTTCCTTCTCCGCACACTTTTAAGTGAGAACAAAGCGATGGGCTAAAGCTTATCATACAGGGTCGTCCGTGACGGGAGAAGCAGTGTGGAAGACGCCATGGCAGCCATCGATGGCTTCTCGCAGAGCGCCGTAGTCGAGGAGATCAGCCTTGCAAAGCAGCAGCCGATCCGCGGCGCCCTCCATCGCCGTCAGGTGTGCGTTCTTCGGATCATCTGCTAACAAAGAAGCCTCAGCGTTACAGACCAACGACGTGGGAGTTCTCCTACATAGAACCGCTGCACGCAAGCCATGTCACCTGGGTTTCTCACCGTCCCCTTGACGGTGTATCCTTTCTGCAACAGGAGCTTCACCAGCCAGGAGGCGATGAAACCGCCGGCACCGGTGACGCACACGGTCTGGCCATTGCCGGTGGGTGGCGCGGTAGCGTCGACGGGCATGCTGACGGCGGCGAGAGGGAGGGAGAGAGATGAGATCGATGTCACGTAGGTTTTGGCAAGAGGGAAGACGAGGGAAGATGAAACGTTGGAGGACTCGGTGAGAAGGGGAATGAAGCACTGTGGCATTTATAGGGGAAGAGGATGTGAGAAATGTGTGGGTACGGTTACAGGGGGTAGGTGGCAAGATAGAAAAGCAGCACGTCGCACCTCAAGGGAAAAAGGCAGCTCTATGAAGACCACACGTCTTTTGAGGTGTTCTTCAAGTTTTCATCCAAGTACAGGGATTAGGTGAAGGGTTAAGACAACTGGCTTCCAGAGGTGAACTTTCCGACTGTAAGCAGGTAAGATGTTGATGGAGGTCAGATTTTGATCATCCATAGAATGTAGCGGATTAAAGTCGACTTGATCCCTTTTTCATCCCAAATATCTCGCAAACTCCCGAAGAAGCGTAAACGCACCGAGCTGAGCTACAAAACAAAGGTCAATTGTACAGTCTCATCGGTGTGATTACTGAACTCAAGCTAAGCACAGCTATGATGGTGTTCGCCTGTCGATCGAACTAATCTGATGACGGATTGGTCAGGCTGGCCCGAGCTATAATGGTGTCTGCGATGCCAAGTCGAACTGCGATAATGTGCATGCACCGAACTGACCTGATGAGCTGAGTCGAGATGAAGCAATATCCATCTATCACGAATATTTATCTTACATGGAATCGGGACGCATGTTCGTTTTCCCTATGTAACATGTAAACTCTTCCTCCGTCTGAGACAAGCTATCAAAAGAAGACTCCGTTACGATATGTGGACTGCAGAAATGCCTATGTTCTAAAATTCTAGTATTAAAGTTGTGGAAATAGAGCGCATACTAAAAAAAAATAGTTTCTCACCGTTGGCATCTTTCGATGAATTCGAAACTCAACTTCAAGTTTTGACACTGTGTACATTTTATGGATAATGAGTTGTAGTATTATTCTACGACTCAACCTTATTCAGAACCTAATACTCTTATCATTTTCTTCTTTTTTTTATTCCTTATTGTATCTGATTTTTTTTCTCACCATATTTGTAAGAGTATCAGAATTTCTCTCGAACTTGTCGATAGTGTCGGTGATCATAAATTTTTCAAAATTATCTTGATTTGTGCCTTGATCGATAATAAAAAGTATCTTCTTGTTCTTTTTCCTCAATTCCTCAAGGTATCTTTTTGTCACACTGTAAAAATATTGTTCTCGCGACTCCTATATCTTTATTTACATACTATATTTCTAATTATTTTATTTCTAAATACCGTTAATTATTTGAACGATGTTATGAAGCCAACTTGATAAGAGAAGAAGGGAAGAGTATTAAGACCTTGCCGACAGTGTATTGCTTGTCTGCTTCATTTAGGAAGAGAGAAATGGAGTTCGGGTAAGTGGTTACTGATGACAGCGTTTTGCTTGTATGTTTCAGTATGTAGAGAGAGGTGTTCGGAGTAGGACAAGTAATTGTTTATATGTCTTCCTCGTACGTTCAAGGCACAAAGGGGGAGAGAGAGAGAGAGAGAGAGATGGGTAGAGGTGGTTGCTGTGGACAGTATTTTCCTTGTATATTTGCAGTACATGGATAAAGCGTGCAGTCTGCATCCCCAGCTAACAGACGTAGACAAATATGAATCGCTGGCACTCGTCCACAGCATGATGATTTGACGTAACCTAACCCAGGATTAGGACTCCACCTACCCATCGTATCATTTCTCCAAGCAAAATGATCCGAAAACTTCCAAGCAAGTTCATGACCCATCCATCCATCCATGTCTCAACACCCGCAAAAAGGGGAAATAAATGATGGCTTTGATGCTCAAGGAACTTGATGGGACAATCATGATGACATCATCATGTCTGATGTTTAAGTTATGAGGAGCATCACCTAAAATTAAAAAATAATAAGAGTTTAACATGCATGCCAATCTTGAATCAAGAAGCAATTACTAACAAGGAAGTTTTTCTTCACAAAATTGATACAGCTCACAACCCCACAGATATGCTGATGAAACTGCTTCCTTCGACTAAATTCGAGCGCTGTTTTAATTTGATTCGATCAACCTGCAACGAGCTTTAGCTAATGCACTATGGAGTGAGTACTTTTGGGAAAAGAGAAGATGAAATCTCCAAGTTGAACGAATTCGTCAAGGAGGAGAATTTATGGGAATCGACTAAAATTGAGTTAGATTTGGGCTCGAATCAAATCAACTAGAAATTTTGACCCAAGTCAACTTTTCACCGACCCCCACCTGGCATTCCACATCGTAGTCGTACCTTGTTCCTGCATTCACACTCCCCTCACGCGAGGGTTTTCCCTCCGCGTTCCTCATCGCCACAATCGCCCATCGCAGTCACCCTCGCCGCAGTCGGCTGCCGCAGCCTACGATCGCACCGGTCACTACGGTCCTCGTTGCACGCAGGTGTGCTCGCCGCAGCCCACGATCACACTGCTCACTGTGGTCCTTGTCGCACGTAGGTGTGCTCGCCACAGCCGCCCATCGTAGTTGCGGTCCTCGTTGCATGCGGGTGCGCTCGCCAGCGGCGATCGCCACAGCCGTCCATGTGCAGCTGCCCGCCGCGCTTGCCGTAGTCGTAGTCGCCCATGCATAGACACTCGCCGCAGCCACCCACGTGCAGCCGCACTTCTCCCCACTCGTGGGCAGCGAGTCGCTCCTATAAATGGAGCAGGGAACAATGCAGAAAGTAGAAGTAAGGAAAAAGAGAAGACTTGAGAGATCTCCCACTCGAGCTCAAATCCGACCAAAACCATTCGATCCTCATCTCCGACGTCGAAGCTGCCTCTCCGATCGTCGATCGGCCACTGTGCTCTCGGCAGCAACCGCAAAGAAGAAGAAGATGAGGAAGTTGACTGGTCACCAGGTCAACTTTGATGAACAAGGGTTGTCGTGTTATGTTTTTGTTGTATTTGGGTAAGTTTGTTCTGACTTTCTCAAGGGAAGTCATGATGGTGCTGTGATTCTGCTGTTAAATTGCTGGTGTTTATTTTACATTGAAAGTGAGAGGATGTTTGAGTTGATTTTCAAAGCTAGAAAAGTCTATTGCTATAGTTTGGACTTTAGCATTTTGGACTTAATGGGTCAATTATCACGTTGAGATGGCGTCAAATATGACTCCTCCAGTAAAGCACCCATCTTCTTCAGCATTCTTTGTAGAAAGTCCACTCATATGCAGACAACGGTTTCAACGGATGATTCTGCATTGTTGCAAAGCAAACGATGGAAACATGAACAAACCATTGCAAGCATTCTCAGGAAGAGAAGAACACAGAGCTACTGTAGCTTGCCGACTGCTTTTGGACATCGATTCAAGCTACAGGTGGAGGAATACAGCAGACCTCAGCCAAAGAAGACACCTTTGCAACCAAAACAATGAAGACAAGTGGAAGAATATAGTGCATTCCCAGAGACGAGAGCATCAAATACGACCATAGTGCGATCGAATAGATCAAACAGTAGACCCCCCAATCATTGAATAGGCGCCAACCTTTAAACGAAATCAAATCCAAATCCCCTGGCGGAGAATGAAGAGACGATCACTGTCGGCGAACCCTTCTTCTTCCCTTCTCCAGCACCACTACCGGAAATGTTGGCGAGGGATAAGAACGATGATCAAATTCTTAAGGAATGGAAAAGATTTGGAGGAGAACGAACCATTTTATTCGATAAGGTGCGATCTCATTTCCGAGTTCGGAACAGAAGAGGGTTTTGGGCACTCGGCTGTCGGTATCGCCGGCCCGTTTTCCTTGTGCCCTCCTAAGTGGTAATTCAAATGAAATGGGCCGAAGTGGGCTCTCTTCGAACATTTATAAGCATTCTCCCCCCTTCTTTGTTTCGCCGCGAGCAAAAAGAACGTCTTTCTCTGCCTTCTCCCACCGCTGCCACCGTCCGATAATGGCAGTCCTCCTCCTCCTCTCTAATCGCCTCCTCTCCAAATCCATACATCGTCTCCTCCTCGTCTCCCAAATCCCTAATTGCACTCACCTACACCCGTTTGCTCCCTCTCGCCGCCTCTGCGATTCTTCCTCGCAAAACCCTAACCCTACTTTTGATCCCAACTCCGACGCTCGCGGCCGTACCCCTCTGGAGAAGCAATTCGACTCGTGGGTCGACCGCCTCCGACCGGGCTTCACCGCCGACGACGTCGCAGCCGCCATCCGCGCGCAGGCTGATCCCGACCTCGCCCTCGACCTCTTCCGCTGGACCGCCCTCCGCCCCGGGTATCGCCACACCGCCCCGGCCTACCTCGCCATGCTTCAGGTCGCCGTCTCTGGCCGCCGCTACGCCCACGCCGAGGCCCTCGTCGACGAGGTCCTCGCCGGCGCCTGCTCCCCCGACCTCCCCCTCTTCAACGCCGCCGTACGTTTCTGCTGCTCCCGCCGTCACCTCTTCTCCCGCGCTTTCGACCTCTTCAAGAAGATGCTGCAGCGCAGCACCACCGCCCACACGTCGTGCCGACCCTCCATCGAGACCTACTCGATGCTCCTGGCCGCCGTCCTCCGCCGGTTCGGCAAGCCACCCGTCTCCTACGTCTACCTCCACTCCGTCCGGTCTCTGGCCCGGCAGATGAAGGCCTCGGGCGTGATCCCGGACACCTTCGCCCTCAACCTTATCATCAAGGCCTACTCCAAGTGCCTGGAGATGGACGAGGCCATCCGGGTCTTCAAGGAAATTGGGCTCTACGGCTGCGAGCCTAACGAGTTCTCCTATGGCTACATCGTGCAGGGGCTGTGCCAGAAGGGCTCGGTGGGGAAGTCCATGGACTACTTCAAGGAGATGAGGGCGAAGGGCCTGGTGCCGACCGCCACCGTCTACATGGCGTTGGTGTGCGGCCTGGCGCTGGAGCGGAGGCTCGACGAGGGGATCGAGGTGGTGTTTGACATGCTGCCCAACGGGATGGCGCCCGACTTACTAACGTACCGGACGGTGCTGGAGGAGATGTGCAGGGAGGGGCGGGCGGATGCGGCGTTCGAGCTGCTTGAGGAGCTGGGGAGGACGAAGGGCGCCATGGATCGCAAGACGTACTCCGACTTGTTGGAGGGGCTGCATTGGCTCTGCCAGCCTCGTGAGTGAACCAGTGATGATTGGTCGGCCGCCGTTCTGCTCCTCCGATCCTAGATTTTGTCGGGTGAGGACTAGATTTGGATCTCCAAAGCATGAATTATTACGAGCTAAACATTTGAGATACCAAAAAAAGAGATTTTTGATGGAGAAGATCTCTGGCTGCATGGATTTCCTGAGCCGGATTACTGCAACCTTGGGTGGGACATCAGCAGGTGAGCTCTTCAGAGTCTCAGTATACATTATGCTTGAAGGATGATCGAATCCTCTTGATTTATACAACTGGTTGGCCTCAATGTGGAGTCAAATTTTCTCCTTGCATGGCTACATATTTTGGAATAATGAATTAAACCTTATTCAAATGTTGGTAGTATCGATCAGGTTGTTTTCTGTTATAATTTCCTCTTCTTGTGGTAAATATTTCATGTTCTTGGCATACTCAATTGTCTGATAGTCCTAATTTATGTAAATGGAACTGTTTTCATCTCATCTCTCAACCTTTGAGAATGTTGATGTCATCCTCTGAAGTTAATGCCATTCTGACCATAGTCACTGAAGTTGACTCCATTTAAAACAGTGTCAAAGGAAAAAGGGTTTGTACATTAGGATATGGTTATGGTCTGATGAGCTCAAGATTTGTCAAAAAAAAAAAAAAAAATATTGTTGTTGCCTCTATTAATTATTCTTGCCTGCAAACAAAATGAAATTTGCAATCACATAGATCGAACCTCCTGATTTTTCTGCAGTGATTTAGAATCCAAATATATCTGCCTTCGTTAGAATTTCTATAGGTGATCTTAAGATTTGAGATATCTTCTTCCTAAAAGAGACGGAAGGCTTGAGCTAAAAATTGGATTATCACTCAAAAACAAGGCAGAAATGAAACTAATAAAAAATTGGACCATCACTCGAAAAACAAGACAAAAACAAACAAACAAACAAACAGTCAAATTGCCACAATTCCTAGTTATAAACTTTTCTTAATGATTTCTGAAAACTAAGTATAATTCCTGTTTGCATACTGTATAATTTAGTCGTATGTTCTTTTTTAGATTAAGCTCATACTGTATTGTATGAGCTTTTGATCGACTTTTTTGAGTTCTTCATTTGTATTGTATCTTTTGGTTGACTTTATAGGTGGTACCCAGCTGAGTTCAACCTGAAGTACACGTTTTTAGACATCATTGGGAAGATCAATTACTTGAAGTACCCCTCCGTGAGGGATGGTGGTAAGAGGAAAAAGATGCTTTTAAGTATTGTAAAATCATGGAATTGGAATTCTCTTCAAATTATTGCTTTCAAAACTAAGTCCACTATATATATATATATATATATATATATATATGTATACTATCAGAAACTAAAATGTTAAGTTGTTTTGTACTAAACATATTATAAATTGCTTGACTATTTTTCTGCTTAATAATGTGTTATATTTTTTCATTTTCATCTTAAATACAAATAATTTTCTAATAAAATTTGTTATGTCAGTTGATATAAACGATTAGTGGTTCACAAGGAAAAATCTCATGTGGATTTGCTTGGGATAATAAATTTTGAATTATGGTAGACACGATTGCTTAGCGTGTCGAATGGGATAGTTAGATCGATTCCAACTATACAAATATTATAAGATTAAATATGGTCTTATTCTGAATAACAAAATGCCATTGGCCTCCACTTTATTAATAGATAAGACATTTCGAATTAAAACAAATCCTTTGTTATTAAAATTTCATCACAAGATGCTATACTTAAATGGGTTGTTTTAGTAGATCCATCATCACTATTAAGAAAAAGGAAAAATGCACAATTTGGAAATCCTATAAGCACCGAATCATTTGGAGAGGCAAAATTAAGAGTTAGCATAAACAAGAAAAAGAGACTTCAATAGAAAGGCTCAATGTAGAGCAAACAGGGAAAAAAAAAGGCATGAAGATTAGCATATCTAAAGCATGAGAGAACTGTAAGGAACAAACAAAAGCATAGATATGAAGACTGGCATATCTAAAGCATAAAATTGGCATCCATACTTTTCTTTATATCAACCTTTTTCCCTTTTTTTTTCCCCTTTATGACATGCTTGAAATAAAGATTAAGATTGGAAGCCAAAAAGAAGTGTGGAGAGTAATGAAAGAACTTCATAATTAGCGATTGCTTATGATATCGGTTGCGTGCATTGATGACAAAGGTTGATTCCAAGAGTGTGATGGTGTGGGTGGCATACACATACAACTTTAATATAAGTGGAATGTTTATTAATAAAAAAAATAAGATTCTCATCACTCTTACCCCGACAACAAGTAATATAGAATAAATAGAGTGTAGGAGGCGCTCGAGGGCAGATGTGAAAGAAAAAACATGAAGATTAGAACTGCATGGAAAAATAAAGTTATCAAGAAAGATTATTATATGAAATGTTTGCATTGGATTATGTCGGTCAAAGACATTGGATGATGGCATGCTAGAGATCAAGATTATAATTGGAAGTCAAAAGAAAGTGTGGAGAGTGAAAAAAGGCTTCATTAGAGCTTGCTTACGATATTGGTTGCGTGCTTTGATGATTCCAAGATTATTTTGTTGTTACATTTCTGTGGCCATATACATCTAATAGAAAAAAAAAAAAAAGAGGGGTACTATTTAAGCTTTAGATAAAAGGTTATAATAACTGCATTCGAATAACTTTGAAATGATAGAGGAATCTCCAAATTTACCAATAAACAATTAGAAAACTTGCCGTATAGCTCTCTCATTTTCTTTTTCTTTTTTACTCAAACTTATCTAGTTGGTTTAATAATATGTGACTATTTTTAATTTTCATCTTGAACATGAAATATTTTCCCAACAAAGGTTATTATGTTGCTCGAGATAATGATTAGTCATTCACAAAACAAAAAAGAAAAAAAATCAATATGAATTTGCTTGACATAGTATAATTTGAAACTACGAGATACAAATACTAAGCATCTCTCTCGACGATGGCATAAACTTTTGTTAACTCTGATCTTGATTCTTAGATCAAAAGTTAAAAGATGCTTAATGATTATTATAATTACAATGATAGTTGAATCATATCCTTATTTTATTTAAACTATGTCCATGTATTAAAATAATATCGATTAAAAAAATTTAGCGACCAATATCAATTATGCATTATGAGTTCAGTACAATTTATTGATAGATTGGACATTTGAAATTTAATCAAATCTATGATTGTCATATTTTATATAATCTGACGATTATTTTGATTGTTGCATCATTTCGGACAAAGGTGAAAATAAGAATTAAGTGTTAGTCGGAAAAGCTTCAAGTATGCATACTCTAAAATAATATAAAATGTATAAACAAATAAAAGAAAAAGGAAAGGAGAGAGAGTAAGAGAGGCATCTCCTTGAAGATTGGAATATCAAAGTCCGAAGGAACGAACAACCAAAACTTTTCTAACAAGGATTATTCTATAAAATATTGGCATGGATTGTGTTTGACACTTTGTCGGTTAAAGTAACATCCAACCACCTTTTTATAGCTGAAAGCATTTCATACTTGGGGACGAAGGTTAGGACCCGAAACGAATAAGAATTATGGTGTGTGAGGAAAGTGCTTTATTTAGAGGAGGCTTAGCATTGATTCCAAGAGTGTGTTTGTGTTGGTGTGGTGTGGGTGGAATACACTTTAAAAAGTAGTCACAACATTAATAAGTAGAAGAAGAATCGTGATCGAATAAACCAAAGTATAGATGCTCATCATCAATCACAACATACATACATCTCCAGCGCTCTCACCCCCACCTCACGCAACCAAAACATCAAAGGCCGGAACGAAAGACGAGTTGGAGCGAAAGCATGGCGGGAGTGGATTTGCGGCACATACTCTTGGATTTGCTGCCGTCGTTTGATATGAAGGAGCGATGTCGGGAGCTAGGTATCCAACATCATCTGGAGAAGATTATTCCTGACCTTTGGGCCATCAATGCAGTCATTCGGGACGCGACGATGCGGGCGTGGACGCAGCCGGACGTGGAGATGTGGATGGCGGATGCGGGTGCAGCCATTGCGGACGTCCACAACCTGCTCGATCGGATCTTGGAGTGGCCGGGGAGGGCAGCGGCACCGCCGAATCCCTTGTTGCGCTCCTTCCTCAGCATCCGAGTGGCTTTTCGTCTTTCTATTCCGCAGGAGCTCAAGGAGATGGGGCTCAGGTTGAAGGAGCTCGTCCTTTGGGGGTCTGCCTTGGACCTCCGGAAGGAGATGATGGATGCCATGGATCCATGCGATGAAGAGTACTCCTTCTTTGTCCTAGGAGACGAAGTGGTGGGAAGAGATGAGGACAGAGATAATATTATAGAGATCCTTCAGCAGAATCAATCATCCAGCAACAACGGTGAGCCCTTCGTCATTGTCATCCATGATGAATGGTCGTTTGGATCATTCCCCATATCCACGGGGAAGACAACCCTGGGTCGGATGATTTACCACCACCCCTGGGTGCGCCAACATTTCCATCATCGAATCTGGGTGGACGTTTCCATCGACTTATCTTTCGATCAAGTAAGCATCGGGAGAGAATTTGCAAGGTCTATCACGGGAGACTCGTGCGACCATCTGCAATCGCACCAAGCTATCTGGCTACTCGTGAATGAACGGCTGGGCCAAAGAAGATACTTGCTCATCTTGAATGACATATTATACTATGATGATACGGAAGAGGGGTTGAAAGACAAGTGGGATCAACTAAAGCACAACCTATTGCATGTGGGTGGAATCGGAAGTACAGTGATCATCACCACCAAAAGGGCTTCCGAATATAGTGGGCCTTTAGATATATCTGGGTCCAAAGACTCCTTTTCGTTGCATGGCCTATCAGAGGATGATTGGATAAAATTGTTCATGAGAGAGACATTCATTGGATCAGCGCAGGACAAAGAGAACACTTGTTCCATAAATTTGCTACTTCAATTTGCGGAGCAACAATACGAAACACTTACGGACAAAACAATTTATGACAACATAATTAAGGGCTTTCCCTTGCTGGCAAAGACGTTGGGCTCAATATTCAGGGACACTGAGGTAATTCGATGGCAAGAAGTAGCATATGATTTGTCTTGTCACTCAGATGTTTGGCCTCCTTACTCAAATGTTAGACGCCATCAGCATTTTGAATTAATGAGTCTCCAAAATCTTTCAACTAAACTTGCACGATTAGAACTCTATGGCTCATTGTGCAATTTAGATCAGTCTAGTTATTTAAAGGAAGAAGATTACATGCTTATGATGATTGCTGAAGACCTTATGCCACAACAATCATTTGATGCTGAGAAGATGTATCGATTGATCCGTGAAATTGAGTTACAATTTGCAATGTTGGATTCAGATTACTATATGAGGACAAGGATCGGTCAAGATTCAATAAGAATCCCGAAACAATGTTGCCATCTATGCTTGCTTGTCAATTCTGATGATGCATTCACGTTTCCAACCGCCTTATCAACAGGGGCTACAAAGAGATTAAGAACTTTGATTTTGCAAACGGAGGAAGAGATGGCTGAAAACGATCAAAAGTGTCAAATCACAGAGATCCCATCAGCCATGTTTACAAATCTGATACATTTACGGATATTACATTTATCACATTGCAGGATCCAACGATTACCTAATACAATTGCCAGGTTGGTTAGCTTGAGATACCTCAACCTTTCCTACACCGAGATCCAATCACTTCCTAAATATCTCTCTAACCTTCAAAATTTGAAGATCCTAAAGTTGGCTCATTGCGAAGAATTCCGAAAACTACCTGAATCGATCCACAAACTCAGAAAATTACAGATTTTAAAACTAGCTTATTGTCAGAAGCTTCGGATGCTTCCCGAGTCGATCATCGCCCTTACAAATTTACAAGAATTAGACGTTGAAGGGTGTCAATGGTTGGTGAAATTACCTCAAGGTTTGGATAGCATGAAAAAATTGACAATACTAAATGTGGACAAATGTGTGTCGTTGACTCGATTGCCCCATGGAATAGGGCAATTGACTAACTTCCAAAAATTATCGATGTATGCTACGGCTGATAGTCTTGCAAGTGTCATCCTAGAGTTGCAGAGTTTAGTAAATCTTAAAGAACTTCGTCTGAAAAAACTTAATGGACTATCAAGCGTGGAGGATGCTCGAGCTTTAAAGCTCCAGGATAAAATATTCCTCAAGTGTTTGGCACTATGCTGGGAGTGGTGGGATATGGAGGTTGCATTAGTTTCTGACGCAACATTATTACATGAGCAAGTGTTGGAAAACCTTCAGCCTAACTTAGCTTTAGAGAAATTAGAAATTGTTTCTTATATGGGGAAGAAACTTTCGAGCTGGATGGCGTGCAAAAAAGAACATCTGTGGCATTTGAGAGAGATCAAGCTTGTCAATCTCAGGAAATGTGAAAGACTACCACCGCTTGGACAACTGCCTGGGCTTGAGACTGTTGAGATAAGTGGCATGGATTCAATTAGTGCAGTGGATGATGCATTCTACGGTGACTGTGACGGTGACACATTTCCCAGATTGGAAACACTCATTTTCTCAGAAATGCCTATGCTGGAGAGATGGCTGAAGGCAAAAGGTGAAGGTGACGTGTTCCCGGTACTTGGAACGTTGATACTAATCCAGTGTCCAAAATTCAAGGAATTTGATGTGCCACTTATAAGAAGATGGAGTTTCCTTAGACTTGAACTATGGTTGAATAATGACAAGTTGCTGAGCTCTGAATTTGGAGGTTGGCAGAACCTTGTACATGTCACTACTGAGTTGGAGATAACCGGGTGTGAAGAGCTGAGGTGCTTCTTACCACAGGGTATCAAGCATTTCAATCACCTTTTTCGTTTGGAGATTATCCGATGCAACAATTTGATCTCTTTGCCGGATTGGTTGGCAGAACTCAAATCTCTTGAACACCTGATTGTACGAGATTGCGCCATGCTGTCATTCATTCCCGAGAGGCTCAAACAATCGCCCCATATTTACATGAATATTAAAGGCTGTCCAAAGTTGCAGCTCTAATCGGCAAAGGATATTGTCCATCCGTCTTCTTCATCGATTTGCAAGTGTTCACCGAAGTGAAGTCATCCATCCATGGGAGGCAATCCTTCTTAATCTAATAATGTATGTATGCCCTCCAACTCTCTCTCTCTCTCTCTCTCTCTCTCTGGTATAATAAACTTGTTAATGTTTGCATCTCACTTCCACATTTGCTCTGCTCTGATAGTATTGGTTTGCGTCTCACTTCCACAGTTGCTCTGCTCTGATAGTATTGGTTTGCATCTCACTTGAACAATTTTTTTTATATCTGTAACAATCGACTACTACTCTTTTGTGTCGCACGTCGAATGGTAGACGGCTTTTGTTTCAAAAGCAAACAAAACACAACCATCTCTGCTGCCTCACGAAAACCAAAGTATGTAATTTGCCGTTTCTAAGATTGCATGCAACACTAATATGAACTTACTAACCTAACACAATAAAATTGTAGTACAAAAATTAATCTTCATACTTCCCTTACATTCAGAATGCTGCGGCTACAGAACTACTATAACTACTACACGAAATACGTCATCTAAAAAAGATTATTGTCTCACAACACATTTTCATTTATTCAGCCTTGTTAAATAGTCTCCACCCCCAAAATTAAAAGAAAAAAAATAAAATATATCTAAATAAATCATGCTCCATCGCCACTAGATCTTAAAGAGAGATCGCAAATAAAGAAGAAATTACCTCAAAGCTCATCCTTAACGCTAATCGAAGATACATGAAGTTATTTCACTCCATCATAATTTTATGCTCTTATGTAAGAAAGCAAAATTTTTATTGAATAAATCATTAAAATTAACTCATAAATAATACCAAAGAAAGAATTAAAGAATATATCAAGAAAATAAGTAATGAATCAAAATGATGGAAATCTTTCTTCTACCTCTTCATAAAAAATTCTAAAGGTAGTTAACCACATTCAATCGATGCTTAAGCTTGGCGATCCGAAGAGCTGTTCATGTGTACTTAAACTTCTATTATCGACAAAGTATAATCAATCAATAAAATCATGTCTTTGAGACAGAATGATCACATCTCGTCTACTTGTGTTAATAATCATTTCTTGTTAGAATCGATAAGTATATTAGGAATTTATTCCTAGTTCGATTCAAGCTAATTGAAGGAATCCCTATTAGATTTAAACTTATAATACTAACACCAACTCCATCATGATTATTTGAGATAGAACTTTTTTAATATTATTAATGATGGGTGTGACTGTGAAAATAAATTATTATTCAAATTATCCCTCTAAGAGGGGATGATCGCATGAGATAAAAAGGATGATACGAGTATTGTGGAATCATATAATTCTCTTTCTTAAAGAAATCGTTTGAAATGATTGCTCCGAAAACCAAGTCCACTAACTCATAATATTGTTATTGTTAGTAATTAACTTAACCATCTCATCTGAAACCTAATAAACTCTGTTTTTCTAGATGAGATGGTTATTTCTATTAGGTTTTGATCAGACTTACAATGTTTTGGTAGAAATACCAAAGTCACTTTAAGCCTATTCAAAAATATTATAATTAATAAGATAAATTTTATAAATGATATATTGGATCGTTTCACCGTATGGACCGGACCAGTGTGACTACGTATGTAATTATTATTCCAAGTATGAAGTGTTTCGATGATTGTAGCAAATGGGATGTGCCTTTTAGAAAATATGAAAATTGTCCATCATTAGATTGTTACCTTTTCTTAAATTTTTTATCGAACTTTTAAACTGATATGCAACTAATGAAATCGACTGAATTGGTCTATAAATCGATGTTCTTCTCTATAAGCGTAACTTAATTCGAAGGCAGTGTAATTATTAGAGAAAAAAAAAAACTCTTTTCTGACATGATAATAATAGGTCTATGATTTCTTTCCCTCTCTCCACACTTCAATTTCTATTGAAATGATTTCCCTTTGTTAGGGTTTATGAAAATATTACGATTTATCAACAATTTAAAACTAATAAGAACTGATTTTTTTAGTTACTTTTTTTTTTAATTTAAATTCTCCATAGTTACCCTATATTAAAACTCAAAACATATAATTATATATAAAAAAAAGATATTAAAATAATTTAAAACTGATTGGGTTTTGGCCCAAATGAATAGCAAAGAACAATGAAAATAAGATAAATTTTTAAATGATTCAAGGTGACCAAATCACCTAACAAGATGTTAGATGAGGTGTAGTGGATGGGAACATTTTAGATACACTCCTAGCAAAAAAAATATGTATAAATAAATTTCGGAACAATTCATTAACAATAAATTATTATTAAAGTATATTAATTTCATCTGAAATTTTAATTTAATAACCAAATTAAGTTCACTTATTGACGTTAACCAAACGACAAGTTCAAGTTTTTAGATTTTTGCAACGACATTACATATGCTAAAATTAAAATTTTACAAAAATATACGCAATTTTACAAAAAGAAATTTCACGTTAAGGTAAGCGATCCGACCACATTATTTCCCGTCTTTGTTGCGCCCATCCAAATTTGTTTTATAAAACATTAAACATATCCATCTTCTTGTTTCTTTTCTTTCCAGCCTTCATTAACCATCTCCTGTTCTGTTTTTGTTGTAGAAAACAGAAACAAGGCTGGAGGAGCTCTTGAGACGATCGGAGAGCGCCGTGTGGATAAGAAGGAAGAACCTCCCCCCATCAGTAACTAGTCGTCGTCTTTTCCTCTCCCTTGCCACTCGGGAAGAGATCGAGAGGAAGGAGGGTCTGAGATTCCTCCTCCTCCTCCTCCTTCTTTTCCTTTGTTTGATTGAAGTTAAAGCATGGCCAGAATCGCTATCTGTTCTTTCAATCCCTCGCCCTCCTTGTCTCCCGCGGCACCCAACCCGTCGAGGCGCCTCCCCTTGGTGCCGCTACCCCTCCGGCTCAAATTCTCCCGGAACCGGATCGGCGGTCGCCGTCCCCTCGCCGCGGTGGTCGCCCGCTACGGCGGCGGCGGTGGGTACCGCCCTGGCCCATCCCGGAGGCGCCCGAGAGATGGCCGCGCCGCCGCAGATCCCGACTACGACCCTGCCCTCGACCTTGACAGGATCAAGTATGCTCTTCTTTCTCTTCCTGGTTGGATTCATTGAACCGAGCCTTTTGCTTTCTGAGGATTTGGATGCCTAATTTTCCCTGGAAACCGACGATGAGTCTGCTTAAGGCTGAGGCTTTGATAGCTTAATCGGTGGAAAGCCAAAAAGTATCCTTGTTTTCTTCTCCTTTTCCCCCTGTGAATAGACAAAGACATCAAAGAAGATAAAATGGCTGGTGAGGTTTCGAATGGTACTAGTGAGATATTCGGAAGGAGTTGAACACGCAACTAATCCTAGGAAAAGATGAACCCATCCTTATATGAATCACTCTAAAATTCAATCAAGCCTTTTGAATTCATATCTTCCGTGCATGATGCATAAATTTCATCGTTGAGGTCCAGAACTAAAACTTAGGTGCTTTTGTAGCACATTTCCTTGAATTTGATCTAGTGTTGAAAACAGGTTGTGCGAATGGAGGTATATGTAACTGTAGAAACTTATCAGTTCTTTTTCTCAGTGAATAAACAATTTTTTCCCGGAAAATGTGGATGTAATTAATGTGGATGAAATTATTCAACGTGACCTACATCCATAATCTTTGTTCCTTGTGCTTCGATGGATGAATAGCTTGTACTATCATTGATCTTAAGAATCTTATGCTTGTATTTACTGAGACATTCTGCTTGTCCACATATTAAATCGAATTAAATTTTTTACCTCTCATTGCTCATCAGGCCATATGAGTATCATTTTCCTTATCTTGTTTCAGGTCATCTTCTGTAAGGTTATTAGACGAGCAACAAAATATGGTTAGTCTAGATTCCTTTCCTTCTTCGGTGCTAGTTATATCATCCACATTTTGCAGTGAGTCCACTCTACTTTTTTCTCTCAATAGCTTGGTGTAGTGTCAATAGATGAAGCCGTAAGAATGGCAGATGATGCTGATCTAATTCTGGTATGTCTTATAAAGCAAGTCGGGTGATTTTAACTGTAAGTGCAAATGAAAATGATATATCCGTTTTGTATCTAGGATGAAATAAGATTAAGTTGGAGTTCACATTATTCTTTTACTTGTGGACCTACTTGTATCTTCTTCCAATGACTTCAGATTAAGAACTTATTGGTTAAGGAAAAGTATTAAATTATTGGATAATCTGGAACTTTATTCCTGCTTGCTTTCTTTTTCAGGCAATTTTGTCCATAGATGCAGACCCTCCTGTGCTTCGCCTCTTTGAGAGTACAGATTACAAGTATGTTCTGTGTGATAACTAGACAGTTTCAGTTATTTTACACTTAGCTGAAGTAGTTCATTGATTGCCTCATTTTCTATTTTTGTCAGTTTCAAGAGTTTAAACTTTTGGTATGACTATAAAAATGGTATAACGATATTTTATTACATTAAGCTGTGCAAAAATAAGTTGGTTTCACTTTGTTTCTACAGAAAACTATTATTTTCTACAGCAAAGTGCACCTGCAGAAAACATAAGTAGGAGGTATATGAATTACTGTTGACTTAATACAATTATTTTGCTTCTACAGAAAACACAAGTACGAGCAGCAAAAGAAGAAACGAGTGCAACAAAAGAGATCTGCCGGTAAATGTCCCATCCTTTGGTTTCTTTGTGATCGAAAAATCAAAAAAGAAGATTCTTATGTATTCTTGACAATTTGCAGCAAACCGCATGGACATTAAGGAACTTAAAATGGGGTATGATTCTCCTTTTCATTAAAAGGATATTTTGTTTATACTCATTTGTTATATGATGGTTATAACGTGTTATCTTGTTACTTTCTCTGAATTTTTTTAATCAAACCTTCTTTTTTCTATTTCAATTTTTGCTCATTCTATAGCCTACCATATTGATGGGACATATAAATTTTGGGGTTGCACTTGCTACTTTGGTGGGATTATGAATGGAACTGTGGTCTCTGTGGAAATCATTTTGTTCTTGCTATGGGATTCGTGCAGTTGTAGGGGCTTATATCCAATTGCTACTGCCTATAAGTGTATCATATTGCCACTTTAAAATTAAACTAATTGTGGAGGACATTTGGCTTCCCTAACCATGCTGTCGCCAATTGATAGTGAGACAAAAATATTCAGGTGTGGCTTGCATAATCAGTTTGCTCAAAGCTTAGTGATCTATGTGATATAAAGTAGTTGGAGGACATGATATTTTTGCTTTAGATGTTTAATATTTGATTATGTACCTAGATGATTTGCCTAACGATGCATCAGATGTAACTATATCAACAGAAAAGCTATGCTTGCTGAGAAGGAGAATAGTTTTCCATAGGCCAAAATTTATTTACAGTTTCCCATATTGACACCCAGGATTAACTGAATTATTGGCAACGTCATAGAGAAGCTGGATTGTGAAAGGATAAGTTGGCACTTACTGTTAGCAATCCTATGTTGTCATTGATCTTATAGTTAGGCAGAATTTTTCTTTGACATCTTATTTTCCTACTAGATTTGTTTGTTCAGTGTAAGTCGGAGAGTTCAACAGGAACATAATCTGTGGCTTTAATGACATTGATAACATATATTTCCTACAATGACTGATTCATGAGTGTGATATATCTTACACTCACTTCATTGTTTGACTAACTGACACGGACTTAGCTGGTTTTGCCTAAGTCGTGCGGCACCCTTGCGTGTCCGTCCGCAAAGGTCAGCCTCCCCG